AAAAAAAAAAAAAAAGCAGTAAAAGCACGGGAAGGAGAGGGGCGCCAGGTCCGGGAGGTGGCCCTGCTGCCCCCTCTGCCCCGCGTTCCCGGGGGCTCGGCGGCCGCGGGTCTCGAAGGGACTTGGCGAGGCTGCGGGCCCCGGGGGGCGGGCCCCTCCCGCAATCCCGACGCCCGGAGCGAGGGAGGGGTGGCGCTGCTGGTTTCGGTGTGGGCTGGCGGGGACCCCCCCAGTCATCCCGGTTCCATACCTTTCCCTTACCCCAGGTCTCACCGAGGCTCTGCCAGGAGCCGGAGCCCTGTCGTCCCGGCTTTGGCGCCGAGAGCTACGCGTTCACGGTGCCCCGGCGGCACTTGGAGAGGGGCCGCGTCCTGGGCAGAGGTGAGGATCTTGNCAGAGGTGAGGATCTTGGGCCGGGCGGGTGGGAGTGGGGAGGGTCCGAGAAATTGAGCTCCCACGTCCAGGAGCTCATTCTTCTTTGGCTCAGATGGCACCGCTTGGTAATTTACATAGTCATAGTGATCTCAGCTTTGCTCTGATTGAGCGCTGTGGTTGAGGGGCTCTCCTGGTGTGGCCAGTTATGTTGGGGGGGGGCACTTGTTAGAGGCCTTCCGTGTGTCTCCTATTGTCCTGACCACTTTAGAGACAGTCTGTCATTTCAGGCTTCGGAAGTCTAATATGTGGGAAGGGCGGGAGGGAAGTGGTTATTCCCGATTCACAGATGAGCCAAGGAAGGCTCAGAGGGTGGAGTCCACAGGTTGGCCCAGTGGGAACTGGGAGGAGCACCTGGCTCCCAGGCCCCCTTCCGTCCCTCTCGAAGGTGACTGGGGAGCCCTCTCAGTTATCAGGCTGTGCCTTTTGCTCTTAGACATGAAAACATTTGGATACAGGTACTAGACCTCCCCCTCCCAAGGAATAATGTCTTTGGTTCTTTTTCCATGTTTTTTCTTTTCCGGGCTTTATTATCACTGAGATAATCAGAATTCTAGAGGTTGCTTTGTTTCAGTTCACTGTTGCCTGGGGCGAAAGCAAGGGAAGGTTGATTTCTCTTCTGGTTTCACTGATTCCCAGATGCGCTTTTTTTTTTTTTTTTTTTT